TTGTGATCTATGGCTTCGAGCCAAGTTGGGGAGCTTGCTATTGGTTAGCGGATTGTACGGTTATGTACTATGTTAGTTCCGATTTGATGCATGCTGGTGAATCAGTTCTGGTTGTGGAAATTAGGCCGATAATGGCACGAGTGAAGGAAAAGTTTTGACAAGATGTCATGAGCTGGGATGAGCAGGAGATAAGTTTCGATGTTTACGGTAAGTTGGAATTGTCTTCAGCGTCACCTAAGATCGGTGTTTTGTAAAAAGGGTTTTGTGTCCCGGTTAATGACTCTTGATCTCTCTTCAGCGTTAGTGCGATCGATGGTTTGGAGGTACGCTCCAGATATTGTTGTGGTAGGTTGTGGGAGTGTGTCCCACGGGAAGATTATATAAGTGTGGCATGTGATCACTTGATTGATTAAAGATGTAAACCAAGTATAAAGTTTGTGATGGTATCGTTAAATTAAAGATTCATGTCTGGAGGGCACTTGGCATATTGGATTTGTGAACTGGGGAGGATTACCCCGATTGTGATGGTTGTTCTTGTGTGTTATGAGAAAAATGGGAGTTATTATGGACCTTTGAAAGGTTATCAGACTAGTTCAGTGTGATCAGAATCGGCTTGAAGTCGATGGATAGATTTAATGTGAATAATGGCTCTATATCAGGCCAGATGTGTGCATTTTAGTAACGCGGTCCTCATGGAGGAGTAGTTAGGTTGATGTTTCATTGTCAGATATTTCGCGTAGTGATACATTGCGCCATGTGAGTTGTGAGATGACTTGAGAAATTTCTATGTGTTGTGAATCTGTGTAGGAATGATGTTATATGAGCATCTTGGCTCTTGAAATTCAGATTTTACATCGCACCTCAGTTGTGCTTGAGTTTTGTAGCTTATAACGCTATATGTCCCTCAGAGATATTATTATGCACTTAGCATGCTTACGACCGATACTCGGTATTTTGTTGTAATGAGCAAATTTGGCTCGATGTGCATCTCCTTATGTGAGATCTATGTATGGATCGGGTGGCACGCCGCCATGGGTATGTTATCTAGATCGGGTTGTACGCCGCAACAGTGTGATGTTGAGTATAGTTTTCTATATGCTATTTTGTATGCCTTTCTTCCTGTTTTCTAAGGAAAGTCTGTATTAGTGTGTGAGATTGGTAATTCCTTCCAGAGTTTGTTTTCCTTTTGTACCGCATTCGAATTGGTAGCTTATTGGCATATTGAGGCATCATATGCGACTTTTGATTATGTCTAGAGTGGCTTATTGCCTGAGCAGTTCGTACTGGGTGAGACGAGATCATTGAATTTGAGATTAGTGCAATCTGAGTATAATGATTTTGCTCAAAATGAGGTGATAGTTCTTGCCA